ATGTTTTAAGTCGTTCAAGCTTTGTAAACAAAAGAAAGGTAAGAACTTATGGGTGCTAAAGTTGATGTTAGGTTGAATGAGCTTAGTATGATCAATGAATTAAACGATGAAAAAATCTAAAATGTACACGTGTCAGATCAGGAAATTTTTTTTTTTTTACACTTTAACAATTCACTCATTTTTCTCTCTAGTCGTCACTGGCGTCGTCCATTTCTGTGCTTCTTTTTTCGTCGCCGTTGGTTGGTGTCGGTGTTCATGGTGTTAGTGTTTTTTGGAGTTGTAGATGAACATAAAGTTTCATTATAAATACTGGCGAAACTGGTGATTATCTAAAATCTGATTGGCCGTTATATTAAATTTCACCAATTTCACCAGTTTCACCAGCATCTATAGTTTTCATTGAGGTGGGTATCCAAATCCTCTAAAATGGGTATGCTAAAAGATCGGTTAATACGGTAATGATTTTCACCGTGAAATTAAAGCCAAAAGGAATGAGCATGAAGCATTCAAAAATGAAACGGAAATCTTAATGGTGGAAAGAAAGCATTTGTGAATAGTAACTCCGAGGAACAACATAAACTGAGGGTATAGAAATGGCAGAAGGTTATTCGAATGGTATTTAAGATTTGCTGTAAACTACGATTCTGATGGACTAAATAATATTGGAGATTGTGATCGATACGAAATTGATGAAAAGCTTGCAGATAATGATGGTGCTAATAGAACAGATAGTGGTACGAATTTGGTTGGACGATGTTATCAAAATAAGATAGACGTTTAAAGGATAACGTACTGTATAAGCGCAAAATAACGCGTACATCCACGTGCGTTATTTCGAGACCCGGGTCAATTTTGGTTCTGAAGTATTAGTTAATACTGCGCAATTACAATTGATTAAGAATCATACATAGTGGATTTTTTTAAAGTTTTTGATTGAACGGTATACGAAGAATAGAATAAGTGAGACTAATGATAGTGATATATATGATTGCTGGAACACCTAGTATCATTGCACTTAAGACCTTATTTGGTTCTAATAGTTTTTATAAGTTTCTGAAAGAGTAAGTTAAGCCGTTATTCATTATATGTTTATTACACATAGGATTGTTAATGGAGTATTATTTTCCGAAGCAACTGGGTTATGCTCCAATTTAAAGTTGAAGTGGGTTAGGGTTTTAAAATTATATAATAACCCGGAGCAAAACTAATTCTTATAGCCTGGGTTGCTCTAAATATGAAGCGAAACCTGGGTTTCTAGATACGGAATCAGGTGCAAAACCTGGGCTACGTCATATATGCAAGGTTGTTAAATTGTGGCTGATTAGACCCATCAGACATATAAAAAAAGAAATTAGACATATGAAGTCTCAAGATATTTTTTCATTAGACATTGTCTAAATAACAACCCTGTATATGAAGTGGAAGATGTTTTTTATTTTATTTAAACTTTAAGATCAAATTAGATCGAGTGTTTACCATCTACCAGTGGAATTGAGTATTAGTAAAAAAAGTTTCGTACTTTATTCAATATCATCATCGTGAAAAACTATCTCGGAACACTAACCCAGAGCATTAATTGGACATTTACTTGGAGCATCACTAACCTGAAGTACAACCGGAATATAGAATTATATAAAAAATTAATATATTGTATAATTATTATTAGTTTTGATCAGGCTTCTATATAATCTCTTATACTTCTAACTAATTTAATTAATAATTTATTAGTTAATCAGAAAATTTTTCTTATTAAAATATAATATAAATTAAAATTTTAGCTTAGAAATAAGATTATAAATTTTTTTTTGGTATTAAGATGATCTTTTGGTTATCTTCTTTCATTCGATTATAGATTTAACTTTACAACATGTTATAGCACTTATTATCTTATACTATATATATATTTGAAGAGTGTATACTAGCTACATATCTAACTTTTGATTGCCTATTTAGTATCTATTTAAACTCTCTGTGTTTATATAGATTATCTTTTTTTAATTAAGCAAAAATATTAGCAGTGTTATAAATTCAAAAAATTTTTATTAGTGCAAATACAAAAAAAATATGTACAAAAAAAATTTATATGTATATTATATATATGAAGAGCACTAATATATACACAAATTTAAATCTATATGTACTGTGTCTATTATACAGATTTAATTTATATTACTAAATACTAGTATTTCTTATTTTTAGATACCTAACTTAGAACTTTAAAGCAGACTCAACTTTATAGAAAGCCTTTTATTCTCAAAGTTAAATTTACTAGAGTTTTTTGTATCTATATCTAGCTAATTTAGGCTTTAATAATTTATATTAGGTTTGAAAACAAGTATTTGTAATTAGTTTTTTTATCTCTACTACTATTATCTACTTCTGCTTTTGTAAAGTTTATTCAAACTTTAGTATTTTCTTTCAAGTCTACTTAGTACTTTCTACTTTCAGTATCTTTTAGTTAATCTTTTCAAATTACCAATTCAGATAGTCTTAAAAAAATACTAGTTTTTTGATATCTACTTAGTAAATTTTTTCTAGTTAATATTTAAATAACCTGATTAATAAAGTATTTTTGCTAAATATCTAGTTCTTATTTAGTTATACTAATTTTAAATATAGTCTATTTTAGTGGTATTATTAAAAGTTTGTATTATCTTTTAACTCAGAACTTTTCAAGCTAGTATCTATCTCTCTAGTTTTTTAATTTTATATAGTTATTAAAACTTATTATAGATTTGTATTAACTAATACTAGTTTGCATACTTTTGTATAATTTATATATTATATAAATTCTCTAATAATTTTTCAGAAATCTCACACTAACTTAGTTACAAATCCTAAATTTAACTGATTAATAAAAGATAGTAACCAATCTATTTATGAATCAAATATAATATAGCTTATTACTTAATAAAATCTTTAAAATCTTTAAATTAATTACTATATCTTATATATAATATAATTTTTTAAATTAGCTTTTTAATATTAATTAAAATATTAATTTTTTGATATTAAGATAGCTTCTTGGCTATCTGCTTTTATTTGATTATTAGATTAACTTATTTACTATATGATTATTATTTCTTTTGTACAATATATATATTAAAGAATATATATTAGTCATATATATAACTTCTGGTTGTCTATTTAAATAGTTTGTTTATTACTAAGTTTTATACTAGTAGCTATATCTATAATCTGACTAAAGAATTACTTATTTAAACTCTTTGTAACTATATAAAATACTCTATAAACTAAGCAAAAAGTACTATACTTCTCTTATTTTTATATATTTAGCTTAAAATTTTAAAACAGATCTGCTTTAAAATTCTTTATTTTGAAAGCAAATCTAATAGCTAATCTAAACTTTAGTAATTTACACAAAATCTAAAAACTTGTACTTGTAGTTAATCTTTTGATCTTTGTTACTATTATCTAATATTTGTTTTTATAGATTCATCTAAGACCTAATTTTTATTTTATAGTATATCTTCAGTACTTTAATATATCTATAATTTTTTTTAAACTTCTAATCCAAATAGCTCAAAAGGACTGTGATCTGTCTTTAGTATGTTAAATCTAACCCAATATCTTTTTTTTAATATTAAAATATAATTATAATATAGATATAATAAACTAACTATATAAAATTAATAAATTTAATAGTTTTTTAAAAGAGATAACTTATACTATATTTGATCTCTAGTTGACAAAAGAATATTTAAATTTTGTTATTAGTAAAATTTAAACTTTGGATATACTACTTAGAGATATAACAACTTTATTACTTTACTAAATTACTATACTCTTAAATTATAAAATTTTTAAATAAAGATATTATTAAAGTAATATAAATTAGTAATTTTAAAAATATAGTAAATTTGAGTTCTGTAGCTTATTAATTAAACTTCCAAATCTCTATAGATTAAATCAATAATTTAAGTTAAGCTAAAAATAAATAATATTTATTTCTGTAATCAAAAAAGTTATAATTAGATATAAAGAAGATATAATAACTTGAAGTAGTGATTAAGCTATTACTTCTAAGTAGCAAATCTAGAGTTCAAATCTTATCTATAATAAAATTTGAAAAATATATCTATATTATAGCAACTATTTCTGTTATATTAAGTTAAATATCTGTAATCTAATCATATTAATTTGATTAGAAGATTAAAGGTATTTGTATTATATAAAAAAATACAAACTAGTATTGAGTGATACAAATTTATATTAAGTTTTTTGGCTATATATAAAAATTTGTAAAAATGAAAAGATCACAAAAGCCTATTTGAAAAGACCCAAGTAGAAAATAGTACAAATCTTTAATAGTACCACTATAAAAACTAAACTTAGAAAATAGATATTCAATAAGAAAACTGAATAAAATATAGTATAATTTATCAACAAGTAAATCTGCTAACTAGACTATTAAAATTCAAACTAGAAAAAAGAATATTAAACTGAACTTAATATATTAAAAGCAAGTTATAGTTCTTCTAAGCTATCTGAATTAGAAGTTTGAAGAGAATTACAAGATATACTAAAGTAATAGAAATATACTATAAAGTAAAAACTAGAATTTGTTGTAAATCTACAAATACAAATATTAAATAATAGTAGCAAAGATTAAAAAACTGATTACAAATACAAGTTTTCAGACTTAGCTTAAGTTACTAAAGTTTAGATTAGCTATATATAAAATATGAAAAGTTTTAGCAGATTTGCTTTTAAGAATAAAGAACTACAAAATTTTTAAAAAGTTTATTTTAAAATCTTAAATTAGATATATGAAAATAAAAAAATATATATCGATATACACAACTCTTCTTAATAATCACTTGGACCAACTGTTCTCACTCAACTCAAGTTGAAGAACTCAAAGCCTAATATCTAAAACTATTCAAATTTTTCTCTGAGTTGTTGTCAATGAAGCCTCTACTGTGATATATCAAGAAATGAGTAATAAAGAAGCAGTTTGTAGCTTGGATCAAGCTTATTCTTTGGTGGACTCCTCTCTATATTCGGTATCCAAGCTAGAAAAGTTATTTTAATAACAATTAAACAAGAGAAAATTTTGAATAGTAAAGGAAAAAAGAACAAGAAAGAACAACTGAAAAAGCACTCCTTATAGCTAGTATCTCGCAAAAATCTTAGTTCTCACTTTTTTACTCTCATTAATACCTTAGTGAAATTTTTGTTGAAGACACTGGTTTATGACAACAAAAAAATTGATATTGCTTATCTTTTTAAAATAGGACGTGGCTATATTATGACATACAGAAGATTTGAAAGAATCATAGTATAGAATAGTCTGTTTTTAAAAATAGTATACTTGCAGTTTTTTGAAAATAATTGAGTTGTCATAACAAGTAGTTTTAAAGATATATCATAGTAGTTGTCAGATATATAATTTTTATGCCTTTGTGCAGGTTGTAGTATATTTATTTTTTTTGTTTAGTCTTAGATTATATAGTAGTATAAACTAGAATTAGACTCTAGATAACACACACCAGTTAGTGATATAGTGAGTTCATACCAAACTAGCAGCTAAGAACTCTCAGTCCTCTGATGAGACAAAGAGGTGAGTTTTTCATTAGGATTTGGCAACTTTGTTGTCAAGGAGTCGTAGTGACAAGTGAGCTAGGTTGTAGATTAGTTATATATATATATAATTAGTTTGCAATAAACTAGTCAGATCTAGAGTCTTGGCTATATAGAAGTAATTTCTAGTTAGGTTATAGATATGGCTACTAGTATAGAACTTAGTAATAAGCAGAC